TGAACTTTAGTGGGTGCGAGGGGGGGGGTGGGACGGGGTGGGGGGGTCTCCGTTCGTCTGACAAGAGAGCCGAATAGCCAACCAACCACATGCCTGAGGGCAGTTCGTCTCAAGAGACAGGCTGTTCGGGAGAGGAGGCACTCACAAAGCTGTACGGACACCGAACCACCACCGTGCCAAATGCAACCTCGAGCAACAAAGCAGCACACTTGTTCCGGAATTGCTCTCCCAGCTCGCCCCCTGGCAGCAACGGGAAAGCATCCCATGAAGCAAGCAGCAACAAACCTGACTGTGGAGGTGCTCTCAAAAACAGCAGCAACAGCAGCAGTCGCTAGTGCGCCCTCTGCTGTGTGCAGCAGCAGCAGCAGGATTGCACTGAAGTCGCCTGGCGGACCTCTAATTAAAGTTCCTCGAGGACTGACGCGGAGACTTTTTCGTTGGGGTTAGCGATATCTCTGCTCATCAGCTCGTCTGGGTCGAAGGAAGAAATGCCCCGAACGCGGAGACTAAGCCACTTAAGCATGTCTCGTGTGCTTCTGTCTCCTGCATACAGTAGGGGCTCCTTGTCTCCCTTCCTGTACAGATACAGAGTAGGGTAGCCAGCAATGGCGACGCCGTCGACTTCATTTCGCGTGGCATCGATGCGAGCAATCAGCAAACCAGGAACCTCCGCTACGCGCATCGCGAGCTCCTTGTAGGCGGGCTCCATCTTCCTGCAGAAGCCGCACCAGGGAGCGTAGAACTCCACCAGCACGTTAGGTTCTTTCCGCACCTCCGTTGCAAACGTCGAGGCCACCAGGGTACGGACCCGGCCTCTAGGTTCGGGAACTTCTGGAGGCGTCTCAGATCTGAAGTATGGGGAAAGCGTGTGCGCCAGCACCTCCGAAACAAAGGTATCCATCATCTCTTCAAGCGCTTGCTTCCCATGATCAGCAGCAGGAAGGGGGTAGGGGGGCCTGTACTTCTTTGCAGGATGCTGGGGCCCCTCCAGGTTGCGGCTAACCTGCATGATGCGCACCTGGGGCAGTGTCTCATCCTCGACGCCGAGGAGGTTCATGAGCTGCTTCTCGAAATTCTTGCTGTTTCCAGAAACCGCCGCAGCAACAGATATGCGGTGCTTCTCCGCCACCGCACGGAATGCAGAAATTAGAGGGTCCTTTGGATCGGGCAAACCCACCTCCTTCAGCTGCTCCCCCTGTTTGCTCGTGTCAAGCAGCAGCAGCAGCTTGGGTCGCACGTCACTAAAGAAGTTGCTGCCGATGGTCTCTGCATCAAACAGAGACACCACAGGAAACAGCCACTGCCGCACGAATGCACGCAGCTCCTTCACCTCGCCAACGGGGCCCTTGTAGATGTGCACGCCGGCCTCGTCTTTGTGAGGCGCAAATACCACAACAAAGGGTGGCTTCAGCTGTCTAGACACCTCAATGCTGCCTCTATCCCCTTCGGGGAGGCGCGGCAGAATATGTTTATCCACCAGGCGCGCTGTGAGCTCGGGGTCTGCAGTGTCACCGAACAAGACCTCCTCCCCAAAGGCTCTTGCCACCGCCTGAAAGCTACTTCGGTTGTAATCCGGAGGGAAGGCCGCCACCACCACCACATGACCGTCTTCTGAAATTCCTCTGCCGTCGCTGTTGCTGCTGCTCACAAGCTCATCCAAATGCGCTGCAGAAACCAGTTGCTTGTCGCGGTCGACCTTCAGGTCCACCCAGTGAAGAATGTGGCTTCTGTAACGCCGCCCTTCATATACATGCCCCACACCTTCAATGTATAGCCGAATAGCCGGGTACTCTCGGATGTACTCCTGGTTGCAGAGATCTTCGTTGTCTGTGCAGTCGACTTTCGCAGTGACCACCGGGGGCACGTGGTGCGACAGCAGTTTCGCTGCTGCGTCCAGTTCAGGCATAGCAGAACGCGACCAGTAGCACCACGGCGCGTAGAACATAACTAACGCCAGGGGGTGTGCAGCCATGAAATCGTTGTAAGTGGCCTCCGTCAGCGAAACAGCCCCGTTATCCATCACTGCCTTCTGATCCGCTGCCGCTCTTGCCTTCTGCTCCTCTGAATACACACGACGGTCCGCCTGCACACCTTCTTCTGCATCTAGTGCGCTCACGACACCGCGGTGGGCAACCACAAAGAACGACAGTGCCAACAGAACGAGCAGCTGGGGCGCCGCCTTCAACCCGCGCAGGCTCCCGGGGGCCCATGAGGGCCCCCAATTCGCTCTCGAGGACGCCAGCATTTCTTAAAAAGGAGAGATGGAGACGAAGCAAGCCGGCGGGGAAGGTCGGACGCTGGGCACATCTAGCAGAAGAGCCGCACCGACCGCATTGGAGGCCCCGAGGGCGACGCCAAGCGCGTGTATATTTGTGGGAGTGCAAAATTCTGAAGGACAAAGTAAACAGAAGGGAAAAAGGAATGACCAGAAAGCAGCGAAAGGACGAAAAGGTATAGACAAGGTGCGGCAGCGCCGCAGATTACGTAGGCAGCCTCTCCGCTTCAAAACCCCCAATCGTGCAAATAAAACCAATACGCCAACTATGCAAACGCTCCGTTTATCTCTTCAGAAGAACATCAAAAGCAATGAGCAGACAAAACCGAGAACAAACAACTTCTCACATCACCACACAACATCACTCCAGGGCCCGTAACAGCAGCCGGTCGCTGTACAACACAATGCCAAACTCAGCCCCCTCCATATGCCAACCCCAAAGTAGCCTACAAAAAAAGCTAATCCGATTTTTTTAGCAAGGTAAACGGGCACTAGCAGAGTGTGCTTGCGTACTTCTTCACTCTATGGATCTTTCACGAAGCGTGTGAACACAATGTCTTCTACCTCCCTGCCTACTGGGGAACCCGTTAGTTGCCTGCCAATGCACCATGGAGGCATTTCTGTGCCTTCCCTTTCATACTGAAGCCTAGGTTTCAGTTTGCAGCCTCTTATTAGCTCCTAGTGGTAGACCTCAGCAGTTGACAACCTCAGCGTCTATTGGTATGCCAACGAGCAAAGCACTGCAACATTAAACAGATCCTGTAGGTAAGTCTGCTAGAAATCGTCAGCTGGGACGCATTGCCTAAACGCAGGACTTGAGGACGAAATTCTTCCGAACTGCCTGCTTTTGCACCTTTGGTGTAGTGCTAGCTGCAAACGTGGCCATGCCGGAGCAAATCGGGCGCCTTGAATATATAGCGGTTTGGTGCCCTGTACTTTTAATATCAATGAGATGGCTTATCGTCTTGTTGCGCTGTAGAGTAATTTGGGTGTGTTTTCCCTGGACGTGGTTTTGGGGGGATGGGCTGGTGAACAAGAAGACGAGTTTAGGCACCCCACAGAGCTTTGCACCGTCTTACATCTATCCCCAAGGGCGCGAGGGTGGGCATAGAGTAGATACGGCTACATGCAGAGGAGTAAGCTTCGGCGACGTTCCTTAGCGAGTGGCATGGCAGCTTGGCTGCTCTTGACGGCCTTTACCAGTCCACGGAGGATCATTATATTAGGGAATTTAAATGCTGAAATTAGTGAATATGCTAATGTTTGGACCCAAGTATCACTAGACGCAGCAGGTTGGTGTCAGCAATGGTGAAGTTTCGTTTATGCTCTCCTGATTGAACACCCACCGTGTACTGTTTGTGAAGGGAAGCCTCTTGCAGGGAGAACTCTCGTTGCTAGCCACGACATCAGTTTGGTTCCGTTGTGAGTGCACGGATTGACGCATCAAGGGGGGTGCCGTAATGGGCCAGCGGACGAACACTTGTGTTTCAGAAGGTGTCAGTGTTGCACGCTGGGTCTGCTAAACTGCGTAAGTGCAGCTAGTCCTCAGAACAACGGACCACAGTATCCTTTCACAAGCGCAACTGCTTCCAGCCTTCAGCAACTTGTAGGGGCCAACGTTGCCAAGAGAACCCAGCGCAGCTGCCCCGTGCAAGCGGCAGCTAGCCGAGCTTGTGCCAGTTTTGCGGAAAAGGGGGAGAAAACGTATGCTGTTAGTGGCCACGTCAGTGCTCCGCAGCAAAGGCTCTTCGCTGCAGACATCTGAGGGGAATGGTGTTGTCTTTCATGTTGTAAAATTAAAAAGCTTAGGGGGAATTCCTCCACTGCATGCATTACTTGGTCTCCTCCTACTGAAGCAGATGCCCGCCAAATTGTGGGTGTGTTGCTGCCTGGCGGCCGAACCACCACGAAGCAGGAAATGCTGCTGTAGCGGTTTCATAGCAGCCACAATTGAGGCTGTCTCTTCGCTGTAGCACTTGAAGCCTGCTGAAACGTTCTCAACAGTCATATATCCACAGCTATCTAGCAGTGGGTGGCTGCTGACTTCCTAGCTGCACTTCAGCTAGAGGCACGGAAGAGCACGTTTTCAGGGCTCAATGCACCGTTAATCAGTTGAGGCTCTAGAAGAAAGCAGTTCAATTCCTCCACAGTTGTTTTACTATTCCGTCGATAGCGGAAAAAAGGCGGACGATATCAGTTGTGTCCTCGCAGGTCTCAGTTCCGATTAAAAGTCTCGATTGACGGCCTCCTGACTCGCCTTCAGGCGCACGGTGCGGTGCTCACTGAGCGTACAAAAAAAATTTAAGGAAAAGCTGAGGCACAGGCTGCTGCGTGGGTAAGAGTCTTCCCACCGGATTAGCAAAGGAGCCGGGCGCCTTCCGGAAAGAACTCGAGAACCGGAGGTGTACAGACACCGCTGCCACCATTTGCACCCACAAGCTACGTTTCGCTGGCCTGTTGCGTCGTGCTGCTGTTGTTCAAAGTGCACAGCACCTCGTGTTCCTGCAGCAAATCAGCCCACAAACCGGTTTCTTTTTGGTGAGTACTGTCCTCCTGGAACGATGGAGCAATAATGCTGTTCCCTTTATGAACACTGGCAGGACCAGAGAAGTGTTGATATACGAATCACGGAAAACAACAGCAACAGGAGCAGAAAGGGCTGAGCTTTTGCTACTCGCGACCCACTGGCCCGCCTAGTTGCCACGGCGACCTGAGCGGCGTCTGCCGCCTCGGCGCTTTCTTCTCGCCCCTGTTCGTTCTCCCGTAGGAGCTGATGCCTGCTGCTGCTGCTGCTGCTGTTGCTGCTGCTGCTGCAGGGCAGGCGTGTTGCTCTCAACGCCATGCAACTCGCCTGGTTCCTCTGTTATCACAGAGTCATCTAGAAGGAGCGGAGGCCTTCCGTTGGCCTCTACGGGTCCACATACGCGGATATTTGCATGTTGCAACTGTCGCTGTTGCTGTTGCTGCTGGGCCAGCGGAGCTCCTCTTACAACAAGAGAAGGGGTTGAGACTACTGCGATGCTCTCCTGGGAGGAGATACCAGAGCTGTCCGCATCGTAGGGCCTTTCGTCGCCATAATTCTGGCAACCTTTGCAGTCTTTTGGGCACGGGGTGTCCAGGGAGCTCTGTGAATCTAACCATACCCAAGCCGATTTCTTGGCTTGTCCTTCTTGCTGCCTTTTAGGAACTCCAGGTACAGGTGTAACAGGCCGCGGCGCTGCAGCAGGGGCCTTTTGTGCAGATTCAGCTGCGTCCTCAAGCATTTTCATAGTCGTTCGACTGTAGAACAAGTCCCAGAAAGCTTCGGCAGTAGCGGGGAGCTGCTGCGTTGCAGAGGCTGGGCGCCTGTCCCGTGCTGCAGTTGCTGCCTCTGTCCCTGCTAGTACAGCTCGTTCTGCTGGGGTCGCTGAAATATGGAACGGGCTTCCCCTTGCGGACGCCACCGATGGGCTTACAGTGGGGAAGAAAGGCCCCGAAATGTATCCATTAGAGAACGGTGTGATCGGCCTTCTAATTCCTGGCATGGGTGAGACACTCCGAAGAACTGGCGTCAAGCAGCAAACAGCGCCACTCTCCTGCTGCTGTGGTTGCTGCCGCTGCAGCAGCTGCTGCTGTTGCTGCGGCTGCTGTTGGGGCGGCTGCTGTGGCTGCTGCTGTGGCTGTTGCTGCTGCTGGTGCTTCAGTGGTGCAACACGGACTGGCCTACTAAATCCTGCAAGGGCCCTTCTGCCTCTGCCAGGGCGCGGTGCTGCCTTGGGTCGAGAGAAACTCTGGTTATCTCTTGAACTACTGCTGCTTTCTGTGAACCACTCTGATGAGTCCCCGCTTCCACTGCAGCTGCTGCTGCTTCCGGGACTGCCTGGACCCCTCCTTCTGAACTGTTGCCTCGCGGCAGTTTCGCCACCCTGTCTTGGCTCTGTAGCAGCAGAAGGCCCCCCGCAGCTGTGCCTCAACGGCTCTGGTCCTCTGGCAAAGACACCTTGAACTGGGGAGTTGCCTGCTGGTGCCGTTTCTTTGGGTTCAGTGGCCCCTCGCCGGTCGCCAGAGTTTCGTGCTTCCAATATCTCCTGCAGGCTGCCTCTGCCGAAAAGTAGGGACAGGTGAAGGGATTGGCTGTCTGCTGCGCCCTCTGGAAGGTCCGACAGAGAACCGATTCTTTCGAGGAGACTCAAGTGCAAGTTCTCGCTATTTTTCTCCTGTTCGGAAAGCTGCTGTCGAATCGAGCGGGGGGCCCGGGGAGCCTCACCTAGCCCCTTTCCAGCAGTAGCTGCTGCTTCCACTTCTGTTCTTCTTGATCCATGCTTCACGTTTGGAGAATTCTGCTGCGCAGCGTCTCCGCAACAGGACAGTTTCTCGAGGAGAGACAAGTGCAGGGTCTCGCTGTCTTCCCCGCTGCTGAGCCGTTCAAGAAGGCTGAGGTGCAGGGCGCCGCTGCTGTCTCTGTCCCGCCGCAAAAGGGCCTCCTTGATGTCTTTCGGCTCGCTGGAAGCTAAGCGCTGCAGCAGGTCCAGTCGCTGCAAAGCCTGGGGCTGCAGTGGCTGGGGCTGTGGCGGCTGCTGTTGCTGTTGTTGTTGCTGCTGCCGACGCTGTTGTTGCGGCTGAGGGGGGGACTGTTGCTGAGGAAACCTGTTGTCCACCACCAAATCAATGGACAGAAGACGCAGCAGTTCTTGCAAAAAGCTTTCAAAGTCCTGGGAACTGCCGGCAGAACTTGAGAGCTCCTCAACCACCTGAAGTGCACGTATGCCCCAACTCGCCCGCAAAACCCTAAAATTTCTTTGACTACCTTGAATAAGAACACTATCCCCAGCAGCACTGACAGCCCTCAGAGGTATTTGAAGTCGTTCGATCCAAGTCAAAGCCTGCTGCATTTAAAAGCCTGAAGAACGAGCCTCAAAGCCTCACTGGAGGTGCTGGGCTGCTGTTAGGAGCTGGGGCTGGAGCCCCTTGGGCAGTCATGTCAAGTAGAATGTCGGTCGCATTTGCTGAAGGGAAGGGAGGAAAAGGAACACACATATAAGCAATATGGAGGCAGATGGAAGCGAGGAAAGTCTGGAATGAACCCCCTTCCCCTAGAGCCTAGAGGCGAGACTACCATGGAGAAGCGCGATTCGTTTCTACGCTGCTGCCGGTTTGTACTGCTTCAGTCGCTCCGGTGGCTGGAATTGCTGCTGCTGCAACTGCTGGTCCTTCTACGTCTGCTGCTAGGTTTGTTGTGAATGAAGACCTGCAGCAGTGGCGAGCTCGGCTGCTTCTTTGAAGTTCCTATATGCTCTTTCTTCGAGTTCCAGGAGGGCACTGATAGCCCTTTCCCTAAGGTACTGCGGGTAGTTCGCTTCCTGGCGTCTTACCTGCAAGTGAACAAGGCCCTAGCCCTCTTTTGCGCTGTGCTCTCACCGTTTTGGGGGGTTGAGGCATCCAGAAGAAGGTGCGAAACGGAAATAAAAGCCCAGAAGCATGAGTTATAAAAGTGCAACGGTGGGGGATATGCCCATTGCCACACCCCCACAAATGAGGTCACCAACAGGAGTGGAGTTCTCCCGATCGTGTCTCTAAGGCTTCTCAGACTTTACCTGCTCGCTGTGGACCTGAACAGCCTCCTGTTTGGGGGGCTGTTGTTGTTGCTGTTGTTGTTGTGGTGATGGTTGTTGTTGTTGCTGTTCGCGAGGACCCCCATTGTTGTTGAGGGCATTGTTGGAGGCCTTTCTGTTGCGCCGGGCCATGTTACTTACTGGGAAGTGATGCAAAGCAAGTGCAGGGCAAGCGGTATCAAGGGAGGGGGTTGGCGAGCTGGTCGTTGGTGTCTTCTTTCCCTGTCAAGTCAAAGCCACCCAAATAGGAATAAAAGGCGCCGAATACCACTTGGTAAAGGCCAAAGACGCAAGTGTACGGACACAAACAGGGAAGGAAGGGAGACCAACACAAGAGGATGAGCTATAGTGCAGAGAGTGAATGCAGGCTCTAAGGCTGCAGCCGGGGGGATGTAGAGGCTCCGCAGCACAAGACAGGCAGAGGCTTTAAGAAAAGCTGCTTTGAAGTACAACAAAAAAAAAGCGTATGAGAGAGGCAGTTCACACAAATTCAAGCAAGTAGGGAATGGAACGCTCCCTCTCCCTCTTCTGCGTTGTTAACTGATGCTGTGAAGGAAAAAAGAGGTTTTGGCTTATGCTGGGTGGCAGGTGTAGGCCTTAAACCAGTGCTAGTCGGGTGAGAATTCAAGTTATAAAGAAGAAGCAAAAAGAGGTAAGGGGTGTAATTAGCTGCAAACAAGTTTGAGAGTAAGAAGGAAGAAGTAAAGCTGCTGCAGTGAGTCTGGACAGGCTGTGAGGCCTGCCCCCAGAGAGAGAGCGGCTTGGGAGCCCGTGCAGGTGAAAGTGAGAGTAAAAGAAATGCCGCCCTTTTTTTTGCGGCAGAAATATAAGTTGTCAAGAGTAACGCAGGGAAATTAAAGGGAAAAGTGAAATGCACAGGGGGCTTTCGCTGCAGCCGCACGGAGCAGAGGAGGTGCTCGCGGTGCGGTGACCGCGCAAGGGGGAGAGAGCTGACGCGGCCCAAGTCTAGAGCTGTTTCCTCATTTTGTCTTCCGACTAACTTCACGCGTTTGTAGAAAATATGTAAAAGTAAGTACACGCTGATCAAAATATCGGGAAAGGAGCTAGGGATAGCAGTAGGGGCTCGCTCCAAGACACAGACCACTAGCCTCCGGGTGACCTCGCCAGAGGTCTCTCCGCACGGTTGTAGCACCGGCTTAAACAGATAAGTGTAGAAACGAGTACACAATGTTTTTAATTTTGTGTTTATCAACTTTGAATTATGACGCGTGCGGAAGTACTACTGCATCATCGTCGTCTCTGCTGCTAGAGCCCGCGTGCCGTGGTCTCCTTTGGCGACGATCGGCAGTCGTTCAGGCCTCCCCGCGAGTGGTATTTATTTATTTACTCGATTGCTTGATATGCTGAAGTATATTTAATTTTTTGCCTGCCCTTGTGAGCCGTATGCTTGATTTATTGTCTGTTTGCTTGATGTGTGTTCAGCCTTCCCACGTATTGCACGCTCTTGTTGCTTTTCTGTTACACTGGGTTGTACTTTTGTCCACGTCGCCTGCATGTTGCATTCCTTTCTGTCCGTCTGAAGTGGGGGCCAAACAGCACAACACATAGAGTGTGCCGCAGGAGAAACCGGATGGCCCTGAACGCAGGGCTCGCACCAGTGAATACACGGAACGATGAACTCCTGAGCAAACCTAGTCATAGTGAGCTCCCTCTGAGGAGTTGATCGATTGCAAAGGCACCCTCCTGTGAATGCAACCTAGATTAACAGGACCTAGACAAGTCCCACCCCTTCTTGTGCAGAGCACTTCGTAAATCTGCCTGGCAAGGGTGCCAAAGCCCCAAACCTGCAGATACGCCATAGCCTGAGGGATTGCTAAGATAGTTCCCTAAACAAAGCCCCTCCTATGGAAGTACATATGTGCTACTGCTGGACAAATGCATCTGAGACCATATGGCGTGAAAAAAAAAGCGGAGTTACTAGAGCAGCAGACACAACACTGCATGTAATTGCGCAGCAGTGCTTGCCCCCCGAAAATCACGATAAAGTCTCGCCACAGCTTCTACGAGACAGCAAGGTAGAGGGAACCATAAATTGTTAAAAGTACAGAGTCAGGCGACAGCGGAGGGCCCGCGAGATAGAAGGACCCCACACAAAAGACGCCCGTTGCATGCAAGTGACTCATAAACCATTGCCACTGATTCTGATTCTATGGCATTGAATTTTGCATGCAGCGTCGAACAGGCTGCAACTTTGCAGCTATTCATACGTATGTATTGGTGGATAACCAAGCAGACGCATGCGTTCTCAGAGGCACACGACTCCTCTGCTCGATGGCTGGCGCCCAGGGGCATCATCGGGCGGTGAAGTGCCTCGAACCCTTTTCATGTGTGCTTAATTATCAGCAAGACAAGCTGCACAAAAGGAAATAGTAGAGATTCACGATATGAATGTGGATCAGAGGTTGAAAGGGACACACAACCCTCGTCCTGCCCATATAATATATATATATATATATATATATA